AAGAAACAGAGACAGAAATTTAAGGAAAACACTGCAGAATGCAATAAGAGAGGAAAGAGATGCTGGTAAAAGCAGAAAGAAGTTAAAGTTTATGCGCAACAAAATGGAAAAAGAGCTTTCAGAGAGATCACCATTAGAAACCTTCAGTAATGCATCCACATCAGGTTTTGTGTAAGATTAGCCTGATTAAAAATGGAGAGGATTAAGGAAGATACATCCAAAGTGTCTGCTGTTGCTAGCTACAGGGCTCTGAAATGTTTGATTAATGAAACATGAATCCCAGGCTGATCCCACTGCTGCTGCTAGCATAGCTAACACTGGGAGTTTGGCCTGACACCATTACTCAGCAGGAGTTTGACCCACGTCGCAGAACCACCAGGCCTCATGGGGCCCGTTTCTTTGCTGCTATTCACTGTGAGCAATGTAAATGGCTTCACTTATCGGCCCACCTGCTCTAGCAAATGAGAGGCCATGATGACATGGCACAGCATGAAATGAGAGGGAGCTGATAGATACAAAAAAGAAAAAACAGAAAACAAAAAAACCAAACACTTTTCATAATGTTATGCCCATTTCAATAAGCAAAACACCCTGTCAGGCTTTGAATGTCTACACTGGCTGCCTGCCTGATACTGCCTAAAGCAGGATAAAGCAGAATTTAGATGAGAAAATAGCCGCAAAACATTTTGGGTTCACCTTCAAAGAGGTCACTTCACTGAGGCTTTGGCATCTCTGCTCACACTGCTGCAACGCTGTGCAACAAATCCAGATGAGGGCTTTAAGCTACGCGCTAAATCCTGTGTATTCAGTCTTTCCCCTCTGATGGGGCATGCAGGGCGAAGCTCACTGACTCAGAAGACATTTATCCAAGGTGAACGACACCAACACGGCCTGCGATGACTAATATCTTGTCCACTGTGCTTAAATAAGCATCGACTGCATCTGGCATGTCAAAGGTCAAAACATCAGTTAAGTTTTTTCTTTTTCTTTTTTTTAACTAAAATTTTGCAGGGCTGATGAAGTCAAAGCACTAATTTTTCCCCCCCTCCCTCCCTCCCTCCCACACACACACACACACACACACACACACACACACACACACACACACACACACACGCACACTGTTCTCTCAGCACTCCACTTTAAGATACAGCAAAGGGTGAAGGGTGAAGTTCAGCCCATGCACAGCAGATTGTTTTTGTTGGCCCAAGCTCTGTTATTCACTCATCAGCTATGGAACTAATGTCTGCTTTTTGTAGGTTTTCTACATGAGGGAGACACTCTCAGGTGCCAAGAGAAACATGACCTAAATAGGTTCCACTTGGAGTAGAAAATTACATTATTTGTGTATACTGGGATAAGAGTGGTGCGTAATTGCAAATGGGGCCCTAATCAGAATGGGAGTGTTGGGAAATTCATCGGGACACTGTGCTGGAAAAGAAAGACAAAGTTTTGAGGAGAGGGAGATGGGTTCATGTAGTCTACAGTGATATGGCTGATGAAGCAGAAGGCTGGATGAGACACTGACAGACGTCACCAGTCTGTACACAACCATAATAGAGGGTTTGTTACATAAGGTGTTTGGACCCCCGAATATGCATAATGAGGGCTGAGTGAGCCTAAATCTCACTGTCTCCAGTGAGTTTTCTTTCTCATGACATCAAATGGTGAAAGTTGTACTCAGACTCTTTACTTTAAGCTACTGTTTGCAAAGAATGTTTTGGATTATGGCAGAATGATGTATAACAGCAGGAACAGGAATACAAATAATGTGTAGTTATTATATTTAATAACCATAATCGATCTGATCTTAATCTGAGCTCACAAATCAAAAGTTGGAGATCAAAACTGGAGATTAAATTCAATCAAACTGAAAATAAAATGAAAATATCGGGGACGTGGAAAATAAGATATTGAAATATGATACATTTGTAAAAAATCAGTACATTCTCTTCACTATTATAAAAAAATAATCATTATACATTATTATTCTTTCTGGACTTAACTGCAGATTAATCAGCTGTAAAGAAATCATTCACATATTTTTAGCTTGAAAAAATATTGCAATATCATTACTCACCTGGCTTCTTTACACATATATAAGAAACAGTGATTTCGATTGTGTCATGTGCCATGTGTACCACTGTGTATAGCACTCCCTCTTTCTTTAACAACAGTATATGAATGTCTGGGACGTGAGGAGAGCAGCTGCTGGACTTCTATATGCTCAACAGTCCCGGATCTTCTTCATCATATTTTTCATGTCATAACGCGCCAAATGTTTTCAGCTGGTGAAAACTGCAGACAGGCCCGTTCAGCATTTGGACTCTTCTACTATGAAGCCATTCTGAGTTAATAGATTCAGTATGAGGTTTAGTATGGTCTTACTAAAATATGCAAGGCATCACTTATAAAAAACCTCATCTGGATGGACACATGTGCTGCTCTAAACCCGTAGAACTGTTCAGCATTGATGGTGCCTTTCCAGATGTGCAAGCCGACAATTTCATAGCCGCTAATTCACCCCTATACCATCAGAGAATGGTATAGGGGTGCTCCTTCTCCAGGCTCTTCAAAAACAATTTCAAAATTCCGATTTCTGACCACAGAACAGTTTTCTACTTTGTCTCAGTCCATTTTAAACAAACTTTAGCCCATAGAACACGGTAGTATTTCTGGATCATGTTCCCATATGGCTTTTTCTTTGCATCACAGAGCTTTAACCTGTATTTGTTGATAGCACGCAAACTGTGATTTCTGTAACTGTTTATGAACCCATGCTGTGATTTCCATAATAGAATAATGCCACTTTTTAATGCTGTGCTGCCTTAAATTGAATTAATGCCATTGAACCGCACTTTTGTGATGTAGTTGTTTTGCAGACTGGTGAACCTCTGCCCATCTTTAATTCTAACAACATCTGCCTCTCTAAGACCCCCTTTTTATACCCCAACGTATTGTTGATGAGTTTCAAAATGTTCCTCCAGCTGTTACTGTTTAGTGCCATTTACTTTTCCAGCCTGTCGCAATTGGGTTTGTACTTAATACCCAACTGATGCTCCCATCTTTATCAACAAGACAGGACTGAGCTATCGCAGCAGCTGCACTAGTCACCGTACTCAACGTGTAGTTTTTGCTGCGCCGTGTCATGTCTTGCATGTGTAATGCATGTGGGCATCCTTCTTCTTTTAAGTGTATCCCTCACCCTTCACTTCTTGAAGAATTAAAACCTACACTACCTACACAGTTTAGCATTGCAGTACTTCCACTGTCCCCTTTGTTACACTATTAGAAAAAGTTACTGCATATTAGATTATGTGTATGTACATGCAGTTCAGTTGGAAACAAGTGTCTGAGGGTCGATCTTTATTGCAGTTTTCAGTGTTGTAGCAATGCAGAGGCATAGGGACAACTGGATAAAGAGGAGACATTCTGGAGAAAACTCTAAAAAAAAGAAAAGTGATGCTGATGCTGAGGTTTATTCTGAGCTGTTATAGCTATCATTTAGAAGCCCACCAAGTCCAGTATGCCTCCAGCATCAGTGTAAATGAATAAAGGGCTGTGATGATGTCACAATTGGCACAAGTGACAACCGTTGCGGTGACCACAAATGAGGCTTAAGGAACATTTAAGACTGGTGATTAATTTTACTAGTTAATATGCTAGTAGGTAGTTAAATCCATAATGCATTACAATTTTAAGCTGATTATACAGTATTTGGCATGTAAAATCTTAATCTGCAATACAAGCTGCACGAGCTGCCAAATAGTGTTTAGCGGATAAAAAAAAAGTACAATATTTCTTGTTAAATTGTAATTAAGAACATATAAAGCAGGATGATGTCAAACTATTCAGGCTCAAGGACCTCGGAAATGTGCCAGTATTTGGTAGCACTTCCCTGTTACGACTGTAAGCACTGAGAAAAGAGTGACAAAGTATTGTATTGATTGAAACCTTGATTGAAATGAACCTAAAACATTCATCATCACTGAGACACAAAGACACCAATACATCACTAAAAGCACCCACACTACCTTTAATCTAATTATGCCACCACAGGGATCACCGAGAACGATTATTCACCACTGAGTTAATTTTACATAATAAAAGCAAATAAACCCCACTGACTATCAGTGGTATTTGCAGCAGGGGAAACGGTATACCTTCCCAGTAATGGAGCGGAAAAGTAGCTGGTGCTGCTGCTGCCAAACACACCACACAACAAGAGGCGTTCTGGCCCCGTTAACACAGGGAAACATATTTCTGTCAGCACTCCATCAATATTTATGTTAGAGAGGCCAAGTAAGAAAAAGGCAGCAGTTAAAGCAATCGGCAGCAATGTGTTCTTGTGTCTGAGCCCTGTTGCCACGGCATTATGTCAAAAACATTAACTGTAACACACAAACAGAGGAGTGCGTGAGCACGCCCATGACACAAAGCAGGCCAGCGCTAAGGAGGCAAAGATGGGAAGAGGACAGAGGTTTGAGGCAACGTCTTATATCAAAAAATAAACATTTTTAAAAATGCACAAAAGCCAGTGTTGCTGCTTTAATTTATCACTGCAATTATGATTCAGCATCTGTTCCTCTTAGCGTGTAAACAGCTAGTGCTCGGGGAGCGGCTGGACGGCCAACCTCTAGAGACGGGCCGCGGATTGCTCTGAGGTGTTGGCACTGTGCCAAGCCAATTTTGCCCTGTCCTTTCAGATCCTTATCAAGGGCGGTAATAACAAAAGGTAAATCACAGCCTCTATGAGTGAGTGAGAGAGCGCGTGTGTGTTTCCACACGCATATTTTACATCTGTTCCCGTGGAAGTGGCTGTGCTGCATGAGTAAACGCATGCATATTCTGACGAAACTCCTCATGCATCAGCATATTTGTATGTGTATTTTGACTGCGTGGGCTTAGTCGGGCTCTGACTGTGTGCATGTGGGTCAGTGCAACAGGGCAGTCAACAGCTAATCACACATTAGATGCACTCCCCTATCCTTTGTGCACACCTTGTGAGCAGGCAGCAGTCGTGAATGAGGGTTTCTTCCACGTAGATGCCTCGGTCTTCCTGCGTGGTCACGATGTGCCCGTTATGACGCCACAGCAGCTCCACTGATGGGTCCAAGTAGGAAGCGGTGCACTGCAGGGGGAGGCGGTCACCATGGAAAACAAGCTGCCTCCGGGAGGGGATGAGCTGAAACAGGGGCATCTCCAAAGGTCCATCTGGAACACGAAGAAGATTTAAAGCAGAATGGTTATGTTGTAAAGCTTCCTTTAGGTTCTTTGAGACAGGAAAAAAGCCAGAATGGAGATTTTCGGGGAATGGAAGTTCTACAGACTCAGCATCACATATGGATTCAAATCAGGCATCAGGTCTTTCCACATATCGTTAGCTTCATAGCATAAGTGCCTAAGTCATTTTTTTGTGATGACATAGGCAGACGGACAGGATGATGCAGCAGTGGTAGGGGAGTAAAGTTAGGCAAAAATCTCAATTTGACCAAAAAATTACTTAGGCACTTATGCTATGAAGCTAACGATATTCCACCACAAGCACAAGCATTCTTCTCGGGAAAACCAAACACGCATGCTCCTTAAAATATTATAAACACACAGAAACCTTTTGTCAAGGTCACACCCCTCCCCCATCCTTCACACACTGTTGCTGTTGCTCAGCGAAACCAACAGGAGCTGATAAAGTGACAGCCTAGAGTGCTCCCCTGGACTCTCCTTGACACCTAAAATTTTCCACATAGGAAGCTGACAATAGCGCCAGCAGCTGGCCAGGTCAACAGGCTTTTTTGCCAAAGATTAAAGGCTACAACTGGGAGGAGATTAGAAGCCATAGGAGTGTTTAGTCTAGTGCCAGAAAATGGACCTGATTTTGGAAAAATGATTGATCTAAGCATACTGTTGAAATATGATATACAACACAGTGTAATGTCTCTAATCATACTGAACCCTTGGAGATCAGTGCTGTCTATTTTGCAGGGCATGGATTGGTGCCTTGACAGCTCAGTGCACTACACTGGGAACTCTCTCAGAGCTTGAAACAATAAAAAATATCTGTGAATAATAAAAACAACCAGTTAAAAAATCATGTAAATATAAACATAATGTAATAATTAGAAAATCAAGGTATTTTATCTTTATTCACGTTCCTTGCACATGCTCCAAAGAGCAACATAAGCAGGCACTTTGCCTGCAGTGTGTCTTTTGTAATAAGTTATATATGCTGAAAGCACCAGACACACAATTCAATTTGTGGCTCATAAACCCTTTTTATTGCTCGATGAATTGGTTTGAAAGAGGAAAACAGTGAAAGATCCATGTTGGGTGGTAGCAAAAGGTCTAAGTTCACAAGCTGACATTTCCCTTGAGTAGCCTTGAGTAGCTAGCAATATTACTTATTGTAACATAGAACCCACAGGGCAATCACAGCTATTAACACAAGCAGAGCCTTGACCTCAGCTTTCTACATAAGTAGTTTATAATCATAGGTGTATAATTAAAAGTGACATGCTTTTGAGAGCGACTTTAAAAACTGGTCACTAATATTGCCTCCTCCATGGCAACATCTCAGTGTAATTGCTTGATGACCCTGTTAGATTGTCGAGACTCTATGACAGTAGTGGCAGATGAGGCTTTGCTATCTCCTCTGCATGAAACACAACAGAAACAGCATGGGGGCCATTGACTGTTGACTAGTCTGGTGCTAACACTGTTGAAACAACACTTTGAGGCAAGGATCAGAGTGTGGCTGTTTGCCTTTGGCCACATGGACACTGTCAGAGCAAAATGTAATTGTTGGCTGTGGGTTTGGGAGTGTGTGTAGGACAACCAAAGGAAGTCAGGGACAGGGACAGAGACATAATTATATGTGCAAGAACTAGGGGCATGTGCACTGGAGCCGAGTCTGTGAAATAAAAAAAACAGTACAATGCTTTTGAATTAGCAGTGCCTTAGCACCAGATTATATGAATGCATCTTCTTTTAAATCCTATGTGAAATATACAGTTGTGGCCAAAAGTTTCCATACACTCATCATGTGCATGAATGCAATGGTAATTTGGAGGTTCTAACAATTTCCTTTAACTGGTATTTTTCCAGCAATCATCATCTTTAATGATTAAAAAAATAATAATTGGGTGCTCATGTTTGATTTTATTTTGGAATTTCTCTAACCTACACAGGGACACAACTATACATAGAGACTGAAATATACACATACGGTCATCTTAATCTTTTAATAAGAGGTGATGAAGGTGTCAATTAACTTTTCATTCAAGACTACAACTGGAAGATTCTCTTTGCTAGCATGAAATTTACTTGTTTGACAGGACTCATTGGATTCACCAATGGTCGGGAAAATGGGAAAGTCCAAGAACCTTAGTGAAGGAAAATTGTAGATTTACACAAGGTCTCTTGGAGCCATTTCTAAACAACTGCAGATTGTCAATTGCAGGTAAGTACTAGTTATTCAGATATGCCAAGATCTGGAAGATGACTAACTGAAGAGCCAAAAATAAAAATCGAGTTAGTATGATTCTAATCATCTTGAAAGTTTAAATTTGATCTTCAACCCAGGCCAATCTGTAGTGCTGATAGTGTTTCATTATGTGTTTTCTGTTCAGGTGTATTTTCACTGCACTGGCACTTTATTGGGATCATTTTCATGCTATATAATGAAACCATTGCCAATTAGACAATTTTCAGACTATACTGCAATCTGATGGGACTTTTCCTAACTCCATCAGTTTAGACAACATCAACTGGCTAAAATGCAGCCATCACCCAGCTTCCACCATGTTTTACAGATGGCTGTAGACACTCAATATTGGACCGCTCTTCTTGACCTCCTCTCTAAAAAAGATCATGGCGCAGCTTAGTATGGCAAAGTTGCATCTAAACAATACACAAGAATTCTGGAACAATGTTCTTTGGTGCAGTGACACCAAGATGGAAATCTGTGGACATACTGCACAGCTCCACTTTTGGTAAAAACCAAGTCATTGAGCCAATCATGAACTCCTCTGTGTACCAAAGTATTCTAGAGTCAAATGTGATGCCATCTGTCCCATATGGAAAAGATATATATACATTTTATAAAGTTTGTATCTGTATTGTGTGAAACTTGTATGAAAAGCATACAAGAGTGAAAGCAGATATAAGATCCCTTGAAAAATGATATAAATGAAACTTGTATGTTTTGGATACTTACTAAAACAATATATGAAAGTAATGAGAAAGTGGCCACTTTCATGAGTAAATCATATAAGCCTTATATGATTCACTATATGAAGTAGGCCACATCTTATGCAAGTCTTTTATGTTTTTACTATTTCTTTTCCATACGTCTGACAGCTAAAGCTTAACTGAAGCTGGCTCACTCAACAGGACAAAGATCCTGAGCACGGCAGTAGGTCTACAACAGAATGGCTCAAAAACAAAAGGGTCAATGTCTTGCTATGGTAAGGTCCAGACCTCAAATTCAACACGATTGACATGCTGTAGTGGGATTTTACACTAGATTTTAATGTAGAAGTCACTTAAAATGTGAATGTCCAAGTCAAAGAGAGTGAGCGAGACAACAGAAGATTTAGCCGTTTTGTGTCAGTAGAAGTTGTGTCCTGGTTCAAGTCATTCAGAGCTCTTGCTGCTGCATCATTCAAATGCAAATTCAATTCATAAATTTAAGAAATCATCCATCCATCCATTTTCTTAACTGCTTATCCAATTCATGGTCGCGGAGGGGCCTGGAGCTTATCTCAACTGTCAGTCCATAAGAGGAGCGGTACACCCTGGACAGGCCACCAGTCCATAACACGGCTATTTGAGCAATCGTTTTAATTTAGCAATTTTTAAAGTATAGACCAACCTCCATATCCCCCATTTGTTATGGATCATTGCCCCCCTAGAGGATTTACTTTCTTTATTGCTACATTTACTGTATTCATGCACAACTGAATTGGATTCAAATCCACACTAAAAATAAAACAAAATAAAACACGCAGATATTCTCAAACACGTACTGTCTGTTTGTATAGTCACTTCATTATCCCTTTCTCAAAGCAACTGGTTTTAAAAGAGGTGCATGACTGAACTTCAAAGACTTGTATGACAGACTATCTTGAGGTATATTTCATGATATTTTTGCATCATTAAATTATTGGAGTCACACCACAGGCTAAGAGAAGTAGTGCTGCACGTGAAACTCAGTTTAATGACATGATACCCGTGCAGTTGCACTACTGTGTCATCATGCAATAAAAACCGCTAAAGAAAGCAGGGTCTTGTTGGGCAGTGTATAACATGCTGTGTTAGTTTTGCACTTTATGTCTGGGCTGTTGTGCTCCTCCTACCAGGGTTAAAGAACCAGGAGTCCATCAAACAGACAGCCCTGACCCCAACACAGGAAGCACCTGATCTCCTAAAGAAGCCGCGTGCACTCTTCCGTTCCCCCTCATTTGCAGGCAGCACCTGACCTGTATCACCGGAGGGATGAGAGCTTGTTGCTGGAATGTATGGTATAAACATCTGCAAACCATCAGGCAGGAGCCGTTGGAGAGAGAAACAAATTTGTCCTCAGTGACAAATTTTCATAAAAACAATGAGGGGATAATCTCATTTTAAGCATACTTTTGATTCCATGTTTGAATTTTATTATATTCCAGGTCATCATCATTCTTGATAGCAAGAATGTGGTATCAGGTGCTGAGAGATAGTCAGGTACTTGGATGTACATTGCTGGAAAACATTTCTTTGCAAACTGTAGCCATATGAAAACAGCAATCATCTAATGACATTTAAAATATGACTCTCAGAGCACTACACAAGTTAATGGATAAGGTACTGTAAGATAGAGTTGTACTGTGGACAAGTGTATGGAGCCAAGCATGCCTGAGAGCAGGACTTTATCATTGTAATTCCATGATGGATGCTTTAGGGCCTAAAAGCAGTGCCTCCTGTCTTGCAACTGGATTCCACTCATGGCTCTTTGTCCACTGACTATGCAGAATTAGTCTGTAATTGGTTTGGCTTGTTCTACGTAAATGAAAAACACATACAGTTAGGATTACATAGAATTTCTCCAGAATGTCTGCATTGCAGTGTCTGGATGCAACTGCAAAAATGCAAAGAGAGATATGTATTCTGCACATGGGCTACATTAGTTTTTTTTTCCTTCTGCAAACTATTTGACATCGTGCATACAGTGCATCCCAATGTAATGCCCCTTTGCATTATATATATACACACATACACACACAGACATACACCAGCACTAAACAATGATTTTTCTCATTCCAGTGCAATATCCCCTGTGCGAGCCAGATGTAAGGAGAAGAGGAGGATGATTCTATCACATATGAGATACAATTCCCCTGTGGACAGCAGCACGGAGCAGGGAGATAGAGGAACGGAGGGAAGACAGAGGGAGGCAGGGGGAGGTTGCCTGTCTGTAACCAGTCTTTCAGGAAAGAAAAAGAAAGCAAAGACTCGTGGATTTTTCTTCGCTGTTGCTAACAACTTCCAGTCAGTAAAGAGAGCATTTTTATCTGCTTAAAGAACTCACTTTGATGCCCCCACTGCTGATAGACATCATATCTGTCCTAATCTTTTAGCCTTTAAACTCATATTTGGTCTTTAAAAGTCCACCGTGCATGCCAAAATGACTTTTCCACAAATTTAGCAAGCTCCCCAGACAAAATCTCCAACAGCATGCAGTGCAATCAGTTTTCTCTGTGTAGGCATTTTTGCACTTTGCAGTTCCAGTTACACTATAGCCTTCAACCACTGGCTTCTACAGAGTGAATAGCAGGTTTTTCTGAAGGTCCTTTGGCATCAGCGTGTGAGTCAGGGAAAACAATAGAGCATTTATTATTATTTGAGGAAAAGAGAAACGAGCAAATCTTGGAGCTCCTTCCTCCTTTTAGGGATACCGATGCCGGATTTACAGATGAATGAGCGGTGCCTAACACAAAAACACCTTTATGAGACAATCTTTGCCTGCAATTTTCTGTCAAGCAAATTTGCACTAAATCACTGGCTCATGTTAAGCTTGTCAAACAGTTCACAGTAGGTGGAGAGATAACAGCGGAGGGGGAAACCTATCATCCAAATAGCTCTACTTAATCATGTTTTCATGGGTAAAACACTTGAAAATGCAGCTTTCATGACATTAGAGGTTCTTGTTATAAGAAGTCACCAAAAGCAAACCTGAAAATGTAAAGCTGTCAGACAGCCAAATTAAAAATATGATGACGATGTTAGTTTTTTTTCTCATTATCAGAATAAGCTGAAATTCTTATAAGACTGCCCTTATTATCTGAAAATCAACTAATTCTTATATATTGATATTTATTTATTCAATCAGTCATCACAGACTACACAGAATGTGCAATACAATTAATATAGGAACCACTGAACATGTGTATAGATGCCTGGCCTATGTTCTTATCATTAAAGCTACTTTCCAAGTAGAAAATGAAATAACAGCAACAAGAAACAGACAGCAGCAACAATATTATCACAAGGAACCCACCAAAATATATTTTAGCATTCTTTTAAAGACCAAAACCATTTTTATGTTGATGTCAACATCATTCCACAGTTTAACCCCAACAACTGAAATATGTCTTTGTTTAGTCTTTCGCTTTGCTTTTTTCCCTCAAGTCGTATTTACTCTCCTGTAGTGAAAAGAAACTTTATACAAAGTTTGAGAGTAACGTTTTTCTTTAGATTTTGCTTTAAACATCGTTTAAAGTAAACCAAATTATTACATTTCATAATATGGGACTTTCGAAACAGTGGCTCAGTGACCTACATTGCTTTTTCTTTGTAACATATGCATCGTTTATGAAGACCCAATAAGACTAAAAGTGGACCTCAAATGAGAATAGCAGAGTGCAATCTGGATTGTAGAGGGTAAAGAACATGTTACCTTTATTTGTGTAGCATTATTTAAGCAAACTTGTTTCACTTCAGTGTCTCCACATCTGTTTTGTTGCCCTTTCTGGTCTTTGTTTCACAGTGTGTGCAGGCAGACGTGGAAACGAGCGGGCAGGGGAGACCAGCAACACAGCAGTAGTCTGTCATCATGGCGATGGGCTCAACAGCATAGCATGGCCACTAAGAGTATTTACAATGCTTGAGTGAACGTTTGTAACCGCTTTGATTGCAGTGTAAAGAACATTTCTGGTTGTAAATTTGAAGGTCGGAGGAGGTTTCTTTGGTGCTCCAGCGCCACATCCAAGTGCCCTTTGTTATGTGGTACAATGCACTTTTGTTCATTTGCAAGTACTAAAAAGATATGATAACTCTCATCCATAAAAAACTGAGCTATATGCTGTCACTGCTTTGTCTTTATAATTATCAACAATGAAATTGTGTCCCGCTGACAAAAATAATACGTTTCACACATTTTCTCCCTGTAAACATCTGTCAGACAGTCAATTACAAAACTCAGAGACCTGCTGGCTTTCATTCTGGCCTGAGACTGAAAAACTCATTTACGCCTGGGATGACAGGTGGACTCAATTAATTAAGAAATTAACAAAAGTGCTAATTAAATTGAGCATTATTTGGGGACTGTTGGATATCATTTTGCAGGGACAAATTCAGTGCTACAACTAATGTGGGAAACTGCTGACTCACAGTTTTATTTGCGTTAAATAAAATATTGCTGCACTCTCCAGTTACTTGGAAAATGAAGTACACTTAGAATTTATATAATATTTTGCTTCACTTTCTTAAGTTATGAAAAAATATGCAAAATTTTGAGTCACGTAGTACAACAATTTGACAATGTCAAGTGTTTGAATGAAACATCATAATCATACAGCCATAATTTGCAGTGTTATGTCACTTCGGCCATAAAACTTAACTTCACTGCAGATTCTTTGTCTCAGCATCTGTGTTCAATCTGCTAAAATATGCGTAAAGCCAGTAATAAAATAAATGTATGTGTGTTTAAATATAAATACCTTATTATTACTCTAAAGTGGTTCTATATTAATTTCTATTTTCATAACTTTATTCTTGGACTCAATAATAGTAGCTCCTTAAAAGTTCAAACTAATTCTTTTTTACCCTTTACTGCGCCGTAGTGTCCCATTAGCCTGTCCTCTGTCAGAAACAAGACATTTAGATCTTTATTTCTTTTTTTTTTTATATCTTTGTGGGGGGATTTTTTTAGTTCCTCTCACTGTAAAGTTGTAATCGTTTTAAGTCAACTTTTAGCCAAAGCTGTGTACATGAGATGGCCATATTAAAGACAAGCCATCATTTTTATCATAGATATCCAAGAGTAGAAAAAAAACTATACGAATTGGGGCAGAGTGAGGTGCTGCAAACAGAAATGACCACAAACCACATGGCGTTAATGTCTCAGCAGTTTTGAGCGTGTGACAATTCTGAGGTTCCAGCCACACAGGCCTAGAGACTGGTCAATGACCATCTGGGATCTGCCAGTACCAAGGGAAAAATGTCCATTCCCCAACTGGTTGGTGAGTGGTTTCTGGATGTTGACAGAAAAGATTGCTAAAAATAAAGTTCTAGCGAGTTGTTAGTGACCTCCAGTCTCCACTCAATCACAGATTAGCAAAAAATCTGTATTCCCAACCAGTTAAAAAAATACTTCCTTGTGGTTGCTTCGGTTCTGACAATCACAGGCTAACTTGTCTACAAACACTCGCTAGCTATTCTTGTGAAACTGTGAAAAGTGCAACACAAACTGGAAACATTGTGCCTAGTGGGGCAAACTTTCTCCATTTCCAACTTGCACCATACTTTCTCAGGTTTTACTACATCTTAGCCAGTAGTTTGTGAGTGTTTGCAGTCAAGTTGGCATCTTTCATGCAAACTACAGTCAACCACTGCAAGCTGCCAGCAAATAAAACATTGGCCATGTTTAATATGACCTATATAAATAACAGGTTAGTGTTTAGTGTCATTTTATTTTGCAAGCTAAAAGCTTTCAACTGTCAAGTTATTTTGTTCTAATAGCCCCGACATTTAAACCAGTTTTAGGAGACAGTAAATATCAGCCACCACCATTAGCTAAATCCTTACCACATTTGAGCTGTGGTTCGCGTAGGTTGCGAAACTCCAGGCCGTGGAGGTGGGTAGGGAAAACGCAGACCGTGTCATTGCCAATCTTTACGGAGTTGCTTTTAGCCCAGATGAGCAGCCACTTCAGCTGACAGTCACAGAACAAAGTCTCAGCGCTGAAGTGCCTGGTGAGAATACAGCATACTGTTACAACCCATGCGCCTGTATTTGGACTTTATTCATTTAACACGTATTTGATGTCATAACAGGAAAAACTGGTCTAGTTGCTGAGTGCATGTATTATGGTCACTCATTGGCAAGACTTCCAACCTACTGTGTGTGCTGCATAGCTATTATTAATGTCATTTTCTTCCTATGACAAGCCAAAATAACTGCAGTGAAAACAGCCAATAACTGACTTTTACCACTGCATCCATGCTCTAAACTACAACAAACAAGTGAAACGTAGAAAACTGAATGGATCAGGCCATTATACTGTACACTTGTATGTTTCTCTTACAGTACTCTGAGAGCAGCTAGGTGTGTGAAGAGTCCCATGGTCAGAGTGGAGAAGATGTTCCCAGATAAATTCCTGTTTGTGGGAAAAACACACAGAGAGAAACAGATCACTCCTCACATACAAAAAGGCTTTACTACTGGGTTTTTTTCTCATACATTACTGAAGCCATATCAAACATATCCTCTACAGATTTGGTGAATACAAAGCATAAAGAGATGCAAGACATGTTTCCAATTTTAGGGGATTACTCACAATTTCGAGAGGTTACCCAGATCGAGAAACATTTCAGGGGAAAGGCAGCCAATCCTGTTGTTGGACAGATCCCTATATGAACAAAAAGGCAAAGAGAAAAATGCTTCTGTTCATATGGTGAATTTTGCTGATATTATTGTGCAGAACGAGTTGGAGCAAGAGCTAACTGGAAAACAATATGTCTGTTTTCATGGCTGCTTGAACAGAGAAGTTAAACAGCTGTAAAGCCTATTCAACTTCCTGGAATATTTGTCCTGACCTTTTACTCGTCGCATAACCATTTTTGGCACACAGAGCACGAAATGCACAAACATGTGCAAACGCATTGGGCTTCCATGTGCGAGTGGCTGAGCGCTGTCGCGTCCGTGGCTCCGTGCCCTCACACTCTGTAATTAAAGAGCTGCTTTGCTGGAGCAGCTGTGGGAAAATAAGCAGAGCACTCGAATAATCACCAGTTGGGGAGCACTTAAATTAGCACTCCGCTGCACTCCGAGCCTTGCGCACACGCGCCCCGAATCAGCGCGGCTAACTCACTGTTTGCATCCCTGCCAGCCCAGATCCCACTAACTATCAGGCTGCAATCATGTCACTCACTCCCTAAGCCTATATGTAGAAAGGATGAGGGTAATCATTGAGAGAATTACCCAAAGAGAAGAAATCAACGAAAACCACAAACAAAGGAAAGCTAACCTTTAAAACTGTATTTGCTTTTTGAATATTTGCCTTCCAATTAAGTCTGTAAAACATTTGAAATGTTGCTGTAACTTTAACAGAAGCATAACTTTAATCGAAAATTGGAAAGAAGAATTCATTTGATGTAAGCATAGTGCCATTTTTAACTTAGTAAGGCAGTAACATTCAAAGTTTTTAAAATTGCTATGTAATTTTTATACACAGAACATTTACTTGCAGGCAATAAAATACACCCTGGTGACTATATATAGTCTTACTTACAGGCATTGTAAAAAGAAAATACTCCTTCTGACTAAGTACGCTCCATGATTCAGTAGCTTCAGTAGCAGTAACCACTTTTAGCAGCAACAATATGAAGTCATTCTGTTTGACTTTCAGTCTCTCACACTGTTGTGGAGGGAATTTTGGCCCACTCTTCATTAACAATGTTGCTTCAGTTTGCAGGCCATGATTTATGCATGCTTTCTTAAGGTCATGACACTGCGCGTCAAGGTTGAGGATGTATGGGTTCTGACCAGGCCATTGCAAAACCTTGAATCTTTGCTTTTTCAGCCATTCTGGTGTAGATTTGCTAGTGTGAAGTGCTTTAGCTGTCATGTAGATGACCTCACATTTGACTCCAGAAAACTTTGGTATTCAGAGGAATTTGTGGTCGACTCAAAGACTGTAAGGTGCCCGCCGAGGTCCTGTGGCTGCAAAACAAGCCCAAATCATCACCCCTCCACTACTGTGCTTGACATTTGGTATGTGGTGCTTGTGTTGATATGTACATTTGGTAAGTGGTACTGTGGTATCGCGGTTTGTGGCCAAAAATCTCCACTTTGGTCTTATCTGTCCAAACGACATTGTTCCAGAAGTCTTGTGGTTTGTTCAGATGCAACTTTGCAAACCTAAGTCGTGTTGTTATGTTCTTTTTTAAAGAGAAGACGCTACCTCATGCCAGCCCTTCCAAACAAGTCAGACTTGTTCAGTCCTTTTGAATGAATGAGTTTTAGCATATAGCATGCTAACTGAGGTAGAGTCTCAGATGTACTTGGAAATGGCCTGACGGGCAGTAACAACTGCTTCTTTCAGATCATTACTGATGTCCTTTCTCCTTGGCATTGTGTTAACACACCTTCAGCACACTGCATTTATACAGGTGCTCACACTTGCTGGTATGGAAGCAGTAAGGGTGTTATGTCATGTGTTGTTGATGATCTGAGGTTGCATTTTTCAGACCTGGTAAGGTCCTAAAACCAGACAGTGGCAGTTAGCATGCCAGCAGAGTGCCGGGGCTCACAAGCTCAGTCAATCCCGTAATCCTCATCCTCATCTCAAGGGGTTGCAGTAGTCCAATTGAGAGTGTTCCAATGGCAGATACTGTTAGCAAACTGTAACTACACTATCCTGTGAAGCTGACTGCTTTCGGAGTCAGTTTGCTAACTTGCAGCTATTCTGTTCTTCCCATAACTCTGTGTCCTGAGTTAGCTTTGCTCAGGCACAGAAGGTTTGTGAATGTCTAAAACTGTACTGCAGGCCTTTTGCCTAAGTTAAACACTTCAGTCCACTCTTCAACTCTGTACTTTAAAACACTCTTTCTCGTTGTCTCTAAAGCCAAAGGACTCTCCCCGCGTCCCCTGGAGAAGGCTATTACAAGGCTTCATCATACTTACAGTCTCCTCAGTGCTAGCAGACCACGGAAAGCCCCAGGCTCCACTGTACTTATCAAATTATTCTTCAGGTCCCTGGAGAAAAGAGACACAGAAAAAGAGTCAGATAGGAGTCTATCTCTCTATCTATCTATGGATGTTTAAGGATTATTTCTGAGATTCAATTTGCTTGGTTTAAAGAAATCTGACCATATAGGCCAGCACCATCCTGCAAAACATGTTTCTTTCACAATGTGCACACAGCAGAGTCCAGTTCACCTTATAATAGCGTGCTTGCAGTTTGAACTGAAGCAAAGAATTGTGTTTTTTAAGCTTTCAAGAAGAACTAAACAGCCAAGGAATTTAAAATGGGAAAAAAAAACAAAATTCAATATTTGCGCTATTTGTAAATTTCTATTAGATTTACTATTTTACATTGACATCTAATTGAGACAGTATTTGTGGGTTAACTAGCACCTGTTAGCTGGATGACACAGACAATTTCCTGCATGCTGGAGACCCAGACCACATCCAGCCAAGAGACAAAAACACACATGTTGCGGTTACAGCCAAGGACTTCTAATCCACCCCCTCTGCCTACCCCAAAACCTCGGACGATGCTAAAATTGGATTCCAGAAAAATCTCCTCTCCGGTTTTCTCAGATGGCCAAAGAAAACTTCCTGAAATTGTGTCCCTGGTTTCCTTTGACTCTGAACTGTATGTCCAGTGTGATGAGAATGAGATGAAGGGTAGTGCCTTTTTCCAAATGTGAGCAACAACAAAGCTCAACTAAAACTTTAGCAAATTATCTGTCAGGTCAACTCAGGGTCAGCCAGAAGAAACAAAATAAAACCAAAAGGACACAATAATCATCCCAAAGTGAAAATAGAATTAACGCTTCAGCTCTTCTATTTGATATACGGGACAGTTTTTGAGCAAAAAGCTCAGAATGGATTTGCAAGATTTATAGGAGCCATTCAATAATGCAGATTTCCCCTTAGAGGTTGAAGGCGTTGATGGCTATATCCCTACTGTTGGTGGACTTCAAAGAAAACCTTTGGTTGTGGCTGTTTTACAGTAACTGGTGTTAATTCAGTTGATTTAAAGCATTAGTTAGTCATACTGATACAAGCCATCATTAGCAGCAGAAAAATGAGTCTCGTTTAGGGTTAATGATCTGTGTCTTGTTGTTTGGTCCATGCTAAAAAACACTCCCACACACAAACCACACACACACACGCCTGGTCTGTACTCTTAAGACTTTGTAACAAGCTCTCCAAGCGGACTTTCATCCAAACTATGTGTTATATGCAAAAATATATGCTCTTCATCATATATGAGTGATCATGTCACATGTCATCATCTGAGCATGCCAGTTTTGTATGCCTCTTACTCACTAATGAGACTTTGTATGGACATCCTCCAGGATTTGTTATTCACACAGGAAGGGGCTACCACGCTCTAGGAAGAATACTGAAGTTCCTTTCCTGACTGACTAACCTCCTAGTCCAACAGGGTCAGCCAACGGCTAGCTCTCATCTCCGCTCTCATCCAAAGTTATCTTTGATTATGTATGATAGTCTACAAAAGAGCTGGTGCAGGCCTGAGGTCAAAAGGTCATCCACTGCGCCTGTAGCACCTCCTTTTATCCCGAACAGTTGTGTAGCTCACTGCTCTACTGCCTCTGAATTTGCTGAACGTTCAAAATGTTCCACCTTATCGACTGAGTGCCCTACCAAAGGGCAGAGATCACTGCTGTGTGTGTGAGTCTACGCACAGTAAATGTGTTGCTTTGCAAGTGTTATTGGAAAATGTCAAATCCCACAAAGCACCTCACAAAGCAGGTTTGGAGTGGAGGAAGATTTCATGAGAGAAACCCCTTATAATCCCAACACTGATTAAATATACATAGTATCATATACCATCTTACCACAATAAATACTCTTATGCCACTGGATCGAATCTCACTGTAAAAACTGCATATTTCAGAGAGATATTTCTAATTCATAGTGTTAAACACAAAAATGCTCTTTAAATCATGCTTATATCAATTATATACTTCTGAGGGTAATCTTATTGCATTTGGATTCAGCTTGACAGCATTATGACTTTTCAAGTGTCTAATTTTCTAGTCCAGTGGTGCACTTTGGTCTTCTTATGGTATTGTCACTAAAACTAAATACGACATTACCACCTGCATAGTTTCTTCATTAACCTGGCATGGGTCAGTCATCACTTGATGATGTGGACTAGGTAAAAGTTTTGCCTGTTCTCACCAGCTACCTAACTGGTGCAAAATATTCCTGCTGTTATTTTAATGACCCATCAACTTACTGAATGAAATTATACTTGTTACCTCCACCAAGGAGGTAATGTTTTTAGTAGCATGTTTGTATGTCCGTCTGTGCGAGAATGTCATTATATGTAAACAGGATCGCTCAAAAAGTTTCAAATGAATTCTGATGAAATTTGACAAAAATGACAAAAAGCATTAAAACTTAGAAACGATGATTATTACAAGTGTGGTGTATATGGTCAACACATAGAAAGTACCATATAAAGATTAAAAATATCACGTCACATTTGACCTCTGACCTCTCCTTCAATGTCAGCAGGTTGATCTGATGGTCAACGTGATAATAATCCTACATAAAGCTTTATCAAAACTATGCTTCTTACTGCCATTGTTTGTACTGACAACATTTAGGAAATGATACTGGCATGTGTGCAAGTGGATGATGGATGACGGACATGGATGACTGTCATAAATGGTCACTACCTAGATATTCATTTTAGTCAGGATATAACACATTTTTATGATCGAGAGAAAATTATTTTGCTGACTCCTGTCTTGGACCCGAATTTGAGAACCAGTGTCATAAATTTTAAAAGTAAAAAAGAATTGCATTTAAATTTTAATTCTTTTAATTTAAATTAAAACAATTAGAGGCAGAGCCTTCAGTGTTTATGCCTTTATGATATAGCTTATAGCTAGGGCTGGATCAGGTGACCCTGACCCTTCCCTTAGGCTGCTGGGGGCTTCCCATGAGTAGGGATGGGTACCGGTATCGGTTCTGTCATAAACAGTAGTAACCAGACCGAAAAGCAGCGCACATTTCGGTGCTTTATTTTGGTGCTTTTTTTTCCTGAGCTGTGATACACTTTAGATTCTAGCCAATAATTTTACGTTTCCGAGGATAGTAGGCGGGTCCAGGTACATACGTTCTTTTAGAGCAGAGCTACAGATTAAAAATGCCCAAGGCGAAGCGGTCAAAAGTCTGGCTGTACTTCACAGCGAAATATGCAAACTCAGCAGCCTGCAACAAGTGCTTTAAGCTGATACTGTGATACAGTCAAAAGGAGGTAAAAACGCATAGCGTTTTTTTTAAAAGCCGAGAAATGCGCTGTATTTGATAGCTTGCTGCGAGACCTCACACCGTGCACATCTACTGCGGGTGGGTTGCCTGTTATCGGACCCGGAGTTAGCAACATCCCCCAAAAACCTGAAGAGGAGAGTCCTGGTCCCTAGCCCTGCCAGTGTAGCAGAAATGATGAGGATGATGATGCAACAACAACCGTTCTTCTCTGGGTCAGTAGCTTAATGTTGTCCGTGTGTAATTTACGTTGAGTAGGCTAACCACGTTATTACATTAATGCAGGTAAGGTGAACTAGCAAACATCATCATAGCTACATGCGGCTGTCTTCTTGTTTGATGGCAGATGCTCCCTTCACCCTGGCCAAAAAGGCTAAAATGACCAAAGAAAAAGTGGAAAACAGTTAAACATGAGAGGTTTTTGACAAAGTCTGTGTTTTTTCCATTGTTTAAGCACTGCTTCCAGCCAAGAGTGATACCATATATGCCCTATAGCTGCAGAAAAGGCTAACATTGTTATCTTTTTACAAAAAAACAGCTAAACATGAGTTTGTGTTCTCCATTCTTTAAGCACCGGTTTGAGCACCGTTTAAGCACGGGCACCGTTTCAAAAGTACCGGTTTGGCACCGGTATCGGATAAAACCTAAACGATACCCATCCCTACCCATGAGTATTTCTTCTTCACTCACCTCTTTTCACTCTCTTTATCCATGACTCTCCACTTAATTATTAGTTATTATTCATCTCTGGCTCTCTTTCACAATGTTTCTTTTGTCCTGTTTTCTTCCCTTCAGGCCCAACTGGGAGTTTTTCCTTTCCACTGTTGCCAAGTGCTTGTTCACTGGAGTTCATTTGATTTTGGGGGTTTTCCTTCTACTATTGCAGGGTCTTTACCTTATAATCTAAAGCACCTTGAGGCAAATCACTGTTGCTGTGATTTGAGTTGAATAAAGTACAGAAAACAACCAATTGGCTGATTTGTAATTACACATTTCCTACAATAGGTACTCATGTGTCTGAACTTCCTCTGGATATTAAGAGAATAATTGTCCTGTTATGATGTTGTAGTCCTGATTTCACAGACCATGCCAGCTGTGGCCCTGTTTGTGTTAGTGGTTTCCTGTATACAGTCACGTTTAAAGCCACAGATGACAATACAGGCAAAACCTTTTAAAGTCACCAGGCCTGAGATAACAAATATCTGCAAATAAATGTTATAAATTATGATTCTGTGTCATTAACTGGCTCAGGACGGGTGGAGTCTGCTACATAATGCAACAGAATGGATGCCAAAAGTCAGAACAATCAGAGGAAGTTATTTGAAATTGAGTTTTGCATCCTTTTCTGTGATTAACAGCCTGACATAATGTCCTCATTCATCATAGTGTAAAGCTTGAAGGATTTGTAGTTGTTGGTTAAGGACCCTGAAAAAATGCAATAATGTCTTCTACCCTGTTTTTAGCATTCCTAATTTTGCCAAGGTAATTTCCCTGCTACAAGCTTTGAGACCCCTGCTGAGTTTACTGTCACTTACATCACTGGTTCCCAGCGGCTTGATTTACATTCGCTCTCAGTCATTATAGTAAAGTCGACACATCGAAGAGCTTAAGTTTCATTCAAGGTTATTTTCCATCCATCTATTCTCTTAGCTGCTTATCCTGTTTAGGGCTTAGGGGTTTAGGAGTTGGAGGGGAAAAATCAACACACACTGAGTGAAGGT